GGTCAGGATTTCCTTTTGACAAACAACCTGCTTTCAGTCAGCGGGGCCAGAGGTTTCCTAAATTACAAACCCTTTCATTTCTTCTGCCACAAGTCATCCTGTCAGTTTGTATAATCGCACAAGATGGAGAGAAATTGAAACGTTTGCAGAGACATTGAAAGCAAGTTGTGCCTTTGCTAACCCAATCCTTCTGGATTGTTGAAAAGCTGTCCTGAATGGGATGGGTGGCACTGTTTGGGTTGGAGCCTTTGTAGTTGCTCCTGTGTGGGTAAATTGCTCGTATCTGGAAGAAAATATATTGCACGTCTTGAATGATCACACCATTTACTAAAGTTCTGCTAAGCATGGGGCTTCCTTTTTATTTGAGAAATATGCATGGCATATGCAAAATTTTTGAAAAGCAAATTTTAATATTTATGAAATATGTGTGAGTCTTCTCTGATGTTTATAAATGCTCATTGGAACACACAGTTGCCAAGTGCTGAGAGGATGGCATAGGATGGAGTTACCAAGGCTCGCAAAGTAGAAGGTATTCAGACATCCCTGGAAGATTGTGCTCACAGTGGACAGGGTGCTAACTACACCTTCAACACCTGCAGAGGACACTTGAGCTCATTCTGATATCTGTGATAATTAGGAAGGTAGGGTTATATTTCCTGGCCTGACAGCTTCAAGCTTTCGGTGCTTCAGTGTTGTAATCAGAAGGGTGCCTGAGTCATAACTTTGTCTATTTGCCAGATCATTTCACCCAGCTTTTGTAATCTTAAAAGAGGCTCAACTAGATGAACCTGGGATTTAACATTTTAAACTGGGATTCCTGTAGAAGTGTCATCCATCATGAAGGCTGTCTAAGTGAAATTTTCCTTTCTCTCACACAGGGGAGCCACCAGGTCCATGTGTGATAGGAAACTAAAGCTGCTGTTGACTCTGAGACAGAGGACAGAGCACCTGCTCCTTCCTCTCTTAGCCACTGCACTCTTCCAGTGCTGGTCCTCCCTGTCCCTCCTCCCTTCCCCTGCCTGATGCAACCTTCCCCACCAGGCCGCTCTCAGACTCTCCCGCTCTGCCCAGTCTTCAGGTTTCTGCAGAGACATCAGTTCAGGAATCCTGTCCTGCCTTCCCAGGCTGCCTGCTGTAGTCATGCCTTCAGCACTGCTCTTGGAACCCATTTTAAAACTGGGATGAATTCTTGAGCAGTACTGTCTCCATGCTGGGGGTCAGGTACCAGATTATCTTTTACAGCTTGTTTTCTAAACAAGGCTAAAATAGGGCCAGGTTCTTCTTAGGCATCTGTGCAAAGAGCTGGTTCTTCTTTTGGACAGAAGAAATGTAGGTGAAATGTAGCCAGCGTAAGAGACATTAGAGAATCTGCCAGGTACTGCCCCACACTCTGCATACTTCACAAAGTTGAAGGTAAATTAAAATCAAAAGGTAAGCTTGTTTGGGAGCAAAATATAGCATTTTCATAGGATGGATTTTCCATGTACTTTTGGAAAACCTATGTTATTTTATCCTTGTAATATTCCTATGAGTGGGTATTATCAGTAGTACCCTTTCACAGATGGGAAAACTGAGGCACCGAGACATATTACTTGGCCTGCTGTGACAAGAAAGGTAGGATTCCAAGTGATCTGAATGTACCGGTTAGGCTTCTAACCACTGAGCTGTACTGTCTTCCAATAGGTATGAGAGCCCCACAATAAGAGAGCAATGCATAATTCTGCTTGAGTCGTGTCATCCCTCCTCATTTAAGAAAGTCCTGTCATTTGCTTACTAAAAACACATGCAGATTTCCATTTCCACTATTCCAGCCCAAATCTGACCTTTGCATATCTAGCCTGCCCCTCCTGGCCTAACAGTTCATTGACATCCCCACTTCCCTTACATGTGAACTGTGTTCTCCCTCTAGCAGCTGTAGCGGGTGCTTCAAAGACTAATTCAGATGAGACCATGTTGCCTCAATCTCACTTGGAAGAACAATCATCCCTTACCATAACCTTGGGTTCATCCTGGTCTACCTCTCTTTTCAAAGCCCTCCCCTCTCTCCCTCTTGGACCTACGGGTGTAGTTCTAATTCCTAGAGCACAAAGCATACAAGTCCTCTCCCCTGAGGGTCTCTGCGTGCTCAACTCCAGTCATTTCATGGAGTCAGGTCCTATGAGAAATAGTTCTGTCCATCCTGTCCAAGGAATCATACGCCTGCCACTCACCCATGTTCTGCAATTCCTTTAAGAAGCTTTCCCACCTGCAGGTATCTTTGCCATTCTCATTTATTATGTTTCCATTAAACCCAGTGTAATCTCAGGTGAGGTTAGGTTCTCAGTGTGAACCTGGGTGCAAGGCTATCCTGACCTCAGTACCTAGGGATAGTGCCTTATGGTGGAGACCAGACAATCTATTGACTGAGATATGAAATTGCCAGTAAAGGCCTGGGACTGGGCTAGGGTGATGTTCAGGAAAAGAAAATGACACTGAATTCTCTGATGAGAAAAAAGACTGCAGAGGAGAGGCTGCAACAGTACATGATTGAAGCAGATCAGGGCCAGCAATGGGAATGCTTTGAGCACAGGAGATGCTATAGGCTTGTTTGATCTACTACAGAGTCCAATTATAGCAGCCTTGAGTACTGAAGGTTTAGTCATTATAGTAATAATGAGGTGTTGCTGGGAAGAAATCAGAGCCTCTGATGGGAAGGCCAAGGGGGAGAAATTGGAGCTGTAACCATGGACAAAGAGGAACCAGTCAAACACCTTGACCAGGAGCATTGTTAGAAATGACGCTGTAGCAAATACATCCTCTGGATATGTGCTCTACATGTTGCCTGTTTTTCATACCTTCCTAACCTGAGACCTAAAATCCCTTTAATTTCCACCTTCCACTTCTACATTTCTTTAAAATTTTCTCCCAAATTTGTGCATATGGGTGTCTGAGCATGCTCAAATATTCATGATTCATGCTACTTGAACCAGTGTATGTACATGAAAAATACATATCAAGCATCAGATGCATGAGTGAGACAATCGCATGTTCTATTTCAATGTATGTATGAATGTGATGTTTCTAAAATTCTCAGGAGGAAGCAAGTTGTGCTGAATCACTGAAGTATATACTGTGGGTGTTTTTTGTTGATGTGACCACTTCATATTACTGTCCTGTGAAGAGTAAGTGACTAAATCTGTGCTCTGAGGTCAAGGCTGGTTTGTGCTGAATTCTGTTCAGTAGTAGGGTTCAGTTTGTATTGTTCAGGACACAAGGAAGAGAATTTCCATATTAGTTCTTAAAGTGATACAGGAAACAGCTATAATTCTTCCAGTTTAGTCCTCGAAAGGGCTGATAAAGCCATTACAGCAACTGCTTCGCACAACTTCCTTTCTTGGACGCTGGCTGTTCTGCAACCAAGATCCTGATTTCCTGTAAGCATGGGCGAATGATGGTGCTGACACCCAAGGGGCTTACAGTACTTCACAAATGAGTTTTATTAACTTAAACACAAAATTAACAAAGAAGAATTATGTACACAATTGTGACACAACACACCTTTATACAGTTAAGGCCCAGATAAACTGTATTTTCGGTCTGCGGAATACAAAAACATACAATGAAAAGGTTAAAAATTTATCAGCTCCTGTTTGTTTCACACAAAAAGGAAAAAAAAAAGGTGAATCTAATTGTTAAAACAATCTGGAGAATCCATACACGATGAATTCTAGCAGCAACATGAAACTTCAGTAAAGGATGGAGTATTTGTGTTATTGTAGGTCAGAGCTGGATTTTGTTTTTGGGTATTTTGTGTATGTTTTTTTCCCAATTAAGGACAATTCATCTGGAGCAGAGTTAGGGTAATGAAAAGCATTGAATGAGAGCAAATGCCCAAACCAATAACTGTTAAAGAAACTTTCTTATGACAAGGTGGCGATTTTTATGTTCCAGATGTAGGCTGGCCACATAGTGCAGGTGAACAGTAGCATGTTTCCTTGGTGATGGTGATGATCATACTATGGCCTCTGCTCACAATGAACTTCATGCTCCAAGAGGAGGGAGAAGACGAAAAGAACGAGTGTAGGGAGTAATACAAGGATTCGCTGATTTCCAGCTATGTGGTCATGTCCTCCTTTATCTAAACAACAAAATGCAGACACAGCAACCATTCTGAGCACATGACGACCTTGCCAGGTTCCAATTCATGAGGCATTTTATTAATAAAATAGATCTATCCTCTGTCATCTTTCTGTGGGGAGAAACACTTGCATAATCATTTTTTCCAAGTAGTTACATATAATACATTAGTGTTGAAATGAAAAAGTGAGGCTAGAAGAGGACATCTGATTTTTAAAAATTAAGACATTACTCTATCAAATCTCTTCTAACAGAATTGAAAACAAAAATTGATGGGGAAGAAGGTTAAAATTGGAAAACAAATCTCCATTGACACATGACATCCATGTTTTTGGTCTTGACAACATTATCTAAAAAAACACAAACCTCTGTATCTACATATTTATAGCCAATACTTTGATAAGGCACTGCACATGACTGCGCATAGCTTGCCTCACGCTTCACTACCAAGTCATTGCTACCTTTCAATAGCATTCCCTTAACAATATGTAAAAGAATCATCCATTATTACAAATTTACACCAAAAATTCTTTCTGTACATGATTGTCTCTGTGATGTACATATTATATGTTTAAATTAGACATACTTTAAACTACTTTGCAATGTGCTAAAATTCAAAGTACTTGCCACGTCGTGATAATCACTTATTTCTTACGCTATTGTCTCTTCGATCATTTGTTGTAAAAAAAAAAAAAAGTTAATTCGTGTGAAATGAATGGGATGTGAGTTATACCTCCATAAAGCTGTTTAAAAAAAAAGTCTGTTCATAAATAAGTAGAGATTTGCAGAATACCCTGGGCATGAGACACCAAGAAGTAAACCTTCTTTACAAGAAATTCCTCCACTGGTAGTCGGGAAATACAGTTCAATCTTTGGGGTGTGTCAAGTTTGCTGTATCAGAGAAGGTGTTTATATCACATTGAAAATGCTAAAAAAAAAATTTGAAATGTCTGCAGGTCCTTTGTTCACAGGTTTGAACCATGTAGTTAATGTGGCAAAGACACATCACACTGTGCTAGAACATTCTCATGGCTTCTTTTCATTGGATTCACAGTTCTAGAGAAAACAGCTGTTCTGATGAAACAAGCATGGCTTTCCCTGGACCACAAGGACAGGAGGTTGAGAGCAACAGCAGCTGCGCATCACTATGTCGACTTTGCTAAGTTCAGCAGTCTCAGCGTTGACACGAGACACACCGGTTGGATTCATCACAGGGCTGTTGTGCAGTTTCCAAGTGGCAGGCAGCTGTTACAGGTACTCCAGTTCCAAGGCATGATGTAGGGCCATGAGGTCTGAGTGACTAGAGATTCTCCAGAAAGGCATGGCATGCTGCAGAGAGGGAGAAGCATGGTGAGGGCAGAGAATGCACCTGGCACAAGGCCTTCCGTCTGCTACGCTTGAGACCCTTGCTGAAGCTATCGGAAAATTATCACCTCATGTCATAGCTGCTAAAAACCAAAGCTCTAACTTTATCCACCCCAAAGAACACTGGACAGGGTTTAAAAATGCAGGCTTGAGCCTGATTCTTTTAAGAGCCTGAAGATATTAAGTAGGTCTTTAGTGTGATTTTAATGTCAGTTCCAAAATATATGCGTGAAATTTTGCCAGAAGCGGTTGCTTTTCAGAAGATGCATTCAGTGAATTTTAATGCTGACAGATTTTGAGTCTGAATTTTATGAGCATAAGCAGTTTTCCTCAGTTGGAAGTATCTTTCATTTTTCTGAGCTTAGCTCTCAAGCAATTATTTTTTTCATTTATTTCTGTTATTCTTCATATTGACTTCAAAATAGCTTCAGCATGTTTCAAAATCTTTGCATGAACATCTCAGGTGGCTTGTGCTTTTGAGTTTGAGAGTTGCTAAGCATAATTTAAATATCAATTTAAATGCTGAGAGTGTTTGAAAAATCTGAATAAATCTTAATTTATATATCATACATATATACTTTTCCTTAAAAAGATAATTGACTTTCACTGAATAAATTTCTGTTTGACCCAGGTGATGGTTTAAAAAATGTAGAGGCTGGATTGTAATTTATATAGTTCTGAAGAATTTTGGAGCATTTCAGACTAAAAATGTGGCAGGAAAGTAATTTACTGTTGATTTCAACAATGGAAACTATCATTCTCATCTGGGTCATTCAGCTGGTAGTAAGATGCAAGTATATTTATTGGCAACGTGCTTGCCTCCAATTATCTGTCAAAGTAATCTATGGCATTGTGCTGGCCTTTCTAGATTGAAGACTGTTTTGGGTTATCTATATAATTTATCCTGCAAAAATAGAATGCTCCAGAAATGAGTACTAAATATCTCTTTGCATATTTTTAGTAAGAGTCTTCATCTGACAACTTTAGATTCTATGAGCCATTGTTGAGTCATTCATTCATTCAGGAATCTTTTCAGTTTACAGACATACTTGGCTATCTCTGCGGGATTTCCAAATGCATATGGCCCTACCCACTCTCTCAGACCATGGGTGAGTAGCAGAAATGTGCAACATTCATAAGTGTTTGTCTATGTCTTCTGAGAGAAGTAGGAGGCTAGACTAATTCATAAGATGGGAAATGCCTGAGAAGAGTGATGGTTAACTAGGTACAAAAGGATGAGCACTCTGATGGCTGTGTGGCTTGGGAATCAGAAAAATGGAAATAAAGGAGAAACACATTGTTAGTATAGAGGAAGAGATTCAAGATACCATGACTGACTGAGGAGGCAGGTGATGCTGGACTTTGGTTAATCACGAGAGTTGTGACTTATCGGGTGTTGTGTCAGGTACTATGCTATGGTATTTTACTAATGAGAAATGGAGGCTTAGAGTAAAAAAGAGGTTCAAATTCTTTCCCATGCAGATTATCGGAAATTAGGTATTTTTCTCAAATAAATTCACTACACACTCAAAAGTTAAAAAAAAAAAATCAGGAAGACTATAGATGGATTTTTTTAAAATGTACCAAATCAAGCTTATCTCTCCATTCTATTTTTCCATACACTTTATAAACACCTTTAAATAACCATTAAACAATAAAATGGCGACAGCTAGGGGTATCCTCAGAAGTCTGCATTGCAAAATGAAGTAAGTGGCAGAGAAATTGAAAAGGAAACAAGTCTAACTGTTTGATGCATGTAAATAAAGCATTTAATTCCATACTAGGCAAGGAACTGGTCCAAATGCTATGTGCTTTGTCCTTTTTGGTGTTGGGATGGATGCTACCCTAGAGCAAGTTAAATTTAAACCTTTACTTTAAATCCCACTCTCTGGAAATGTGACATCATCTATGTCTCCAAATTGGCTTGTTTACTGACACTCAAACATTTTATTCCATTTTTCCATAAATGTTTTATTGCACTGCAAAAAGTTCTTGAGATCCATACACAGGTTTTTCATGTTTATTATGAACATTTTAAAGATCCCTCCTCATAGGCATGGGCTTTACTATCTTAAAATTAACTTTTTTATTGATTACATTGCATTATGTGACACTGTCTCATACTGTTCATACGATTTTTGAAGTATCCTAGTACTACCTGTTGAGGAACACTAAATGCAGTGGTACTAACAACTGCATGGTCAAATGTAAGTTCAATGGATGAACTCTGCCTGCAGAATATAGAAAAGACAAGTCGTCACTGTGCAGTGGTGATGTGCCTATGCCTTTGAGTTAAGCACCATATTTCCATGTCAAAATGTGGCAGACCTTGGGAAGTGTTCCCACCTGAGGACAGTGGTTTCTGTTACTGCCTTCAACATTACACATCTTACAGGAAGGAAAAGGAAGTCCGCCATGGTCAGCAGCTTCCTGCTCACAAAAACAGCAGATTTCTCTAAGAACTATTCATCCTAAGCAGGTCAAACCCTGTGAACAAATAACTACAACCAATATTGCAGTGATATTTTCACTAGCTAAGCACATAGTACATACTTCAACAAGATAATGGAAAAATGGAATCACAGATGAGTTTTTTGGTGCAATTTTTTCACAAAACATGGAAATCGGTTTCATGAAAAAAACTGAAGCTTTCTTCACACGAAAAGACTCAAATTTTACATTTTTTTCAGGAATGATTTGAAGCACCCCTGTATTGATGCAAACATTTATACTAATAGGAGCTTCCCAGGATAAAATTAACAAAAGAAATATTCTTTGTGTGACAAAGTAGGAAAAGAAAAGCACACACTAGAATTATGACAGCTGGTTATATTCTCAATTCTGATATGAACTATGTGAATTTCAATTATTGCATTCTAGAACTCCAGTTTCCTTTTCTGTAAAGGGTTTAATGGAAATGATTGTGTCTAGGTTTATAGCTTTTCTATTAATTGTCTGTTTGGATCACAATTTAGCTATAGTAGATATAAGTTGTGTAACACTTCCAGGAATTGGTATGGTAGGCAGACAAATGCATCTGTTGTCACAATTTCATTAGAATATGATGTAGTGAGGGATTAAGAATCATGAGGATAAATTCATAGAGAAATGTAAGGTAGCTGGGATCATGTTGAATATGAAGAAGGAACTAAGTTGGAGAGGTAGCTGGAAACGCAGATGGACTGTCAGCTAGGAGGAGATATATGTTTAAGACAAGACTGACAGGTGCAATGCACAGGTTGAGTGGGCCAACAGGTTTAGGATACCTGAATCCAGATGGGTATGACATAGGATACTTAACTGGACACTTTCAAACTCTATGCCTAAAAACAGAGTGAACCACAAATCTTACCAGAAAGGATAGTTGGAACTATGATATGTGTACATAATTAATTTAACAAGATTAGGCATTCAAGAAGAAGTGCGAACCAAGACCTAAAGGAGCTCACCTAAATTCATACCCCCTATGGGAAAATCTTTTTTTAAAAAAAAAAAAAGAAGACTTATTTATTTTTATTGGAAAGTTGGATTTGAGAGAGAGAGAGAGAGACACACAGAGAAGGCTTACTGTCCAAATGGCTGCAATGGCCAGAGCTGAGCCATTCTTAAAGCCAGGAGCTTCTTCTGGGTCTCTCCATGGCTGTAGGGTCCCAAGGCTTAGGACTGTCCTTAATTGCTTTCTCAGACTATAAGCAGGGAGCTGGATGGGAAGCGGAGCAGCTGGGATATGAACCACCGCACCTGTGAGTATTTAGCCACTAGACTACCATGCCTGGCCCAAAGTGTTACACTTCTAGGAAATGATGCCACAAGTCTTCCTGGCACATAAGGGCTGATCACTGCAGCTCTGTCTGTAAAAGGAACTTCTGGCAATGTGTAAATGTTCAACCCCGGGGCACTGTTATAAGAGCACTTCTATACAGTGAGATACTGACACAGTGCCAAGGACTGGACATGCAGAGCTCTGTGTACTTAAAGGAAATACATACCAGGACAGAGTGCTCAGTGAAAAAAGCACACAGTGAGAAATGTGTAGTTAGCATTTGTGCTAAAGGAAAAAGCAAATCTGTTTTCATACAAAGACATCACTTCTAGAAAGTCACATGAACACAAATATTTCCCAAATTGTAGAAGATTCAGGAGAAAGATATTGGTAAAGCTTATTAAGAAACTTGTCACTCAAGATTTCTCTTTATTTGTGTCTCTTTTCTAGGCAGCAATGAAATGTCTAAAGATGGAGATGAAAGCCAATCCAAGGCATGGTATATATTATTCATTAAGTATCAATGAATGACCTGACAAGCATCAAGAACAGTGATTGTCTCTATTCTGCTTCAATACAGCAAAAAACAAGCAAAGAAAATTATAAATATTATCTTTCTCCTCACAAGCTTGTATTATCTTCCTGAAAAAACTTAGAATTAGGCATTACTAGTCAAATATATGCTTCATCTTAAGTTTCAGCAAGTTTTGTTGTTACTGTTTAAAATATTTTTTGTGAAAAAGCATACTTTATAAAGCCAAAATGTAGAATGATTTCAATTTTATTGGATGGATAGAAAACACGGCTAACAGACTTTTATTTATGAAACCTTTGTCATTGTGTAGCAAAATGGATGCTTCCCACTTGAGATTTATTTCCAAAATAGTTCTTTGGCAAGTAAGGTTAATTTAGCAAGGATACTTCTACTCTAGATATGAGAACTACATGTCAGCAGACAGGGGACTAATCTTGCTTTTTAAAATTATATATATATATATGTCCAATTATACTTTACTCAAGCCATATTATATGAGAGCATCAAATATTTTGACTACAAGACATAAGCTGGCACAGCACTTAGTGAAGATGCCACTTGCTCGCAGTACCCATGTTGCAGTACCTGGGTTTGAGCTCTGCCTCTGCTCCCATTTCGGCTTCCTGTTGATGCACAGCCTGGATGCAGGTGACGCATCCAGTTTTTGTTATGCGGGAGAACTGCTGGCTTGGCCTGACCCAGCCCCTGCAGTTGCAGGCATTTGGAAAGTGAACAAATAAACGTGTTCAAAGTAGGATGGAAGTAAAAGAACAAGTTGCACAGGCGATAGTACCTTTGTTCTTTTAGGGCAGGGTTCTTTAGGAACAAAGGGAGGCACGACTGGAAACTCCTGCAGGAGATCCTTTTACAGTGAAGTTGTCCCTTTAGGAAAACAGGTATTTCAAACTTTTTGAACATTTCTTAAAAGATTTATCTATTTTTATTGAAAAAGCAAATGAGATTTATGGAGAAAAGGAGAGATAGAGAAAAAGATTTTTCTATCTCCTGGTTCACTTCCCAAGTGGTCACGATAGCTGTAGCTGCTCTAAATCCAGGAGCTTCTTCTGAGTCCCCCACATGGTGCAGGATCCCTGGGCCTTGGGCCATGCTCTACTTAGTTCCCAGGCTACACATAGGGAGTTAGATAAAAAGTGCAGCAGCGGAGACACAAACTGGCACCCTGTAGGATCCTGGTGCTTGTCAGGTAAGGATTTAGCTATCATACTGGCCCTCTTTGAACAATTTTTAAAAATCAATGCTATATTTAGATGAAGTTACCAATGAAAGCTCTAGAACAACACTGGCAAAGAAAATTAAGGCTAACAAACTAGATTTAAATTGACCATGAATGAAACAAATAATTAGCAGAATTAATGACTGATTTTCATTTCTGGGCTTCAAACAAGACCTGTCTCTAGCAAAAGACGTTCTTTAGGGAGCCAAAGGCATAAAGGGAATAGAGTGTTGTATTAGATTAGAAAAGGACCGAGGAGACCAAAAAATGCAATGCAGATTGGTTTTGATTTTATAAAACATTTTAGTGCTCAATTATAATGGATCTTTGTAGCTCTATACACATATTTAAATTGCTAAGGACCTATAGTAATATATCAGCATTACTGTTTTTTTTAAAGTTTGATGATGAATGTAAAGTTGAAAATAGTTATATCTACCATCCCAAAGAAACAGAATTTGTATACTTCAATATTTTTCAAAACATGTAAGTTTTCTTTTGTAAATCATATCATATTTAGCCTATATAAATGCAGTTTATAATTTGAAGACACTTTGTGTTAAACCTTGTGATCAAAGGAAGTAACTGAACTTAAATCCTAGCTTAGCCATGTTCTAGTGGTCTGACTTGGTGAAATTATTCATGTGCCTCAGTTTCCTAACTGCAAAATGGATTGAAGGCTTGGTTCCTCAGAGTTTGTAACAATTAATAGGGCTTCCTGTACCTCACCATTATAACTAATCCTTTTCAGCATGGGTAGCCATTGCTTATTTCCTTAAATAATTTTTTTACAGGGAATCTTATTAGATTGCAGATTCTTTTCCTACTCTATTAAACATTCTCTACTTGTTTAAACATCATTGTCTACTGTGAATTATTTAACCCTTAGTCTCTAACTCATACACAAAGAATTGCTATTTTCATGTCAGTTACCTTAAAAAAAGAAAGTTAGATAGGGCCCTATGCGGTAGCGTAGTGGTTACAATTCTCACCTTGAACGTGCCAGGATACCATATGGTGTCGATTCTAATCCCAGCAGCCCCACTTCCCATCCAGCTCCCCGCCTGTGGTCTGGGAAAGCAGTCGAGGGCGGACCAAAGCTTTGGGACCCTGCACCTGTGTGGGAGACCTGGAAGAAGTTCCTGACTCCTAGCTTCGTATTGGCTCAGCTCCAGCCTTTGCGGCCGTGTGGGGAGTGAATCATCAGACGAAAGATCTTCCTCTCTGTCTCTCCTCCTCTCTGCATATCTGCTTTTCCAATAAAAATAAAATAAATCTTCTTTAAAAAGTTAGATAAAAGCTCTTCTTCAACAAAATTGGAAAAGGAAATAAAATATTACTCTGAACCTTCTGAAAAATCTGTGCATTTTACAGGAACACACACGAGACAAAGCTCTTGTGCTAGGGGAGGATGTTGGTGTGTTAGCTGCTACAGTCCAAGGCTGGAAGCTCGGAAGACACATTCCCAGAAACAAAGCACAGAAGAGAACACGGCTGGGAGCCGCTCAGTCCCTCCTTGGGGCCCACGTGGGCCATTAGAGGAATCATGTGTCTGAAGAACAGTTACAATGGCTTTCACTGTTTAAAGTCGGCAATACTCATCTATTGTTACTTTCAGTTCTAATACCAAACCCAGAATTCTTTGAGTTTGGTGAACACAACATGGAAAAACCAAACTTGAGAAGAAATGCACACTTGTCAGCTAAGGGAAAGACCCCACCAACAGAAAGCTGACAGCACTGAGCCACAGGCTGGTTCCTGAAGAAGGCTCGGCTCACCTTCAGTGCCTGTGAGTTTCACTACAGTTACAGGGACAGACCATTCCGTAAGTCACCTCGTGCCTTTTTTTATCCTTTAGGGAAATATGCAAGGATTCCTATGAGGGTGTTAGAGGAGAAAGGCAAAAATTATACTAATTTACCTATAAAAATAAGAAACAGGAGTAAAGTAAAACTGCTAAGATTTAAGGAATTGAAGTCAGAGTCTCAAACAACCAAACCAGAAAATAAGATTCTGAACTTTGATGCTCAGATTTTATGAGTGAACTAGGCACATACACATATAATTAGTAACAATGGCTACCATTTGTTCAATACTTCATGAATAGCAGGCTATGTTTTAAGGGAGCTACATACATCAGCTAAACCTGATCCTCAAAATGGCCTCATGAGCAAAGGAATAGAGATATAAAGGGGTTAAACACTGTCAAAAGTCGCAGAATGAACAAATGGCAGAGCCATAATTCAAAGCCAGGCAGCAGGTACTGTTCACTCTGCAGGCAGGTTCTGAACAACTGGTAGAGGCTTTCCAAGGAAGCATGTGGAAGATTGTAGGCTGCATCTAGACCCAGGGAGCCAAGAGTGAATCACCTGCTGATGCCTCCTATGGCTGACAGCCTCACTAGTCACCTGGGATTCTGCTTCCCAAGTTCATGAAGACCAAGGACCCAGAGCCCTTGAGCTTGTGCACACCCACATTTCAAAAGATCGCTTCACATGTATCCTATCCTGGTTTCAGTGCTTACAGCTCTGCACACATTCAAAAATCTGTTTCTGAGAAACGTTATTCATTTCAGTGACAGAATTATGAGGATTTGAAGACCAAAAGTGAAACCGCATGAGATGCACTCTAGGAGCACTGACCTTTTTCGCTCCTTGTTCCTCTTCCACGCCATCTCCTATGACAACATACACCACTTTTCTTCCAAACCTTTGAATTATCCTTTCAAAACAGCTTTCCTTTCCTAGTGAACAAAAGTCACAGAGTATGTAAAATGAGCAATCCAGTATTTTAGCACTTGAGCTTTTTATATGAAATATTTCCTTCTGTTTCCAAGTCAATATTATCCCATCTGGGCAACGAAGAAGTGTTTTGGTACCACTAGGTAGTACACGGTACAGCACAGTACATTAAAAATTAAGTTCTCTGTGGTGTCCTGTCCCTTCGAAATTGAGAGCTTACATACTCTTTTCCAGGGTGGGTATTTTGTCTAGAGACACTCCATGTTTCTTGACACCCAGCTCTGGCTGCTGGCTGCAGAATCTTGCTAAGACAGACCCTGGAAGGCAACACTGATTGCTCAAGTAATTGAGTTTCCCCACCACTCAGGTGGGGGACCTTGATTGAGTCCACAGCTCCTGGCTTCAGTTTTGGCCTGGTCCCATCCACTGTGGGCATTTAGGGAGTGAACCAGTGGCTGAGAGCACTGTGTGTCTCTCCACTGCTCAATTTAAAAAGAAATAACTCCTTCCCCAAGGACTAATTATTTAAAATGAAGGATCTAGTCACAATCACACTGCAGCATTTGCGGGAAGAAGGACTGTTTATAGTAGCTCCTTCTATTTCCACCCCTCCAGCCAAGGCCAAACAAAAGCATGCAGTTCTGGCAACATACTTTAACTTATCATTAAAAAGTTTCATAATATATCAAACTCTGAAAACAGTATCTGAGCCAAAGACTATTGAGAATATTAAAAAAAAAAAAAAACTGGCTTGGTTTTGTTCAAACAAGAGAAAAAAACAAACATTGGAATTAGTTTATCCCTTTATTTTCAGGTTGAATTAAAAACTCACCCCAACCTCATCTGTTTCTCTGAAATATTTTCATAAAATTCTTCCTGAAATATTAATGTCCGGTAATTTGGGGCACAACAGCAAGACCATGTCCACCTTACTCAGGCATCGAATGTTCAATAAAGCATTTTCTTAGAGGAAAAGTGGGATAAAGGTAACAAAATACCTTTATCTGTCTATTATCTTTCCCATGTCATGACTCAGGTTGGGCTCCCCTGGCGGCTACACTGTCAGCACATCCGTGCAGTTAATGGCAGGCATTGTTTTGTCTTACAGAAGAAACTGGTGTTCCAAGACTTGGTCTGCCAATAAGGTCATTTTAATGGACAATGGGACAGTTTCTAGTCTTCAAATGTGAATGGCTGAGCAGGGCCTGCACCTCTTCCAAATGAGGATCAGATATACACATGAACAAATTGCTTGTTTGCTTAAACAAATGTCTGCTTTATATTTGTATTTTGCACTAAAATCTCTAGTTTGCATCTGACAGAATGAAATAGAGCTAGCCTTATTCAAAGGATGCAATTTCAATGATTCTTTAGTCACCCACTAACCTGTGAAATATTAAATCAGCTTAAGAAATACAAAGTACAGTTTTCACTACAAAACTATACAACCAAAATATATTCATATCATAAAACAGGTTTCCTTCCTCATAATAAGGAAATGCTACATGTTTTTGCAAAATTCTTTTCCTTGTAGAGAAAAATAAAATCAATGTTTAAAGGTAACATTATGGCAGAAAAGCAAAAGTCCTTGTCTATATGCTAACTCCTAAAGATTTCATTGTTATTCTGGGGTCATACAGAAGCTTCTCATGAAAATGAAGAAGCCTTTATAAATAAGATTAATTAGAATTTATTTTGAAGTATGTATTTTATAAGTCTATTTTGTCTGAATGAGTGACACAGCTCTATAAAATGAGTCCTCATCAGCCCCTCCCATGATTCAGGCATTTTGCCTATGTGCAAGCTGGGTTTTCTGCCTGGATCCCCATAGCTCTCTCACTTGATAGCAAAATTAGCAATAATCATAAAGTTTGAATCTGTTCTTCCTGTTAAAAACAGCAGAATAAGAGGATTCAAATCTCCTTTTCAATGTAAAAATTAAAACTCAGTGATAAGGCACAAAGTACCCATTAAAATGCATAATGCTTACTGGCCTATTATTGTATTTTTCCTATTACATTACCATTTTATGATTACCTGGGATTAAGCTTCAACCCACATGACATGCAATACATTCTTTGTATTTTCCTTGTGGGAAGTTAAGCACTATCCCTATTGCATTGCATGATAGGAATTTGTCTTTTCATACGCAAAGAAAACACTGCCACAATCTGTTTTTCTTCAGAACAATATGATCTCTATTCATCAATCATATCACTTAATGTGAACCTGTATTTTTATGGAACATGAGAACATATAACATTTCTGGAGTTAGTAGACCTATCAAGAATTCTATTTCGTGTATTCTTAAGTATTTTCCAATGCTGCATCCTTGGTCCCTGCTTGGGAGGTCTCGGTCATTCTCAAACTCCAGATAGGTGCTGTATTTCTAGCTTGTTAAACCTATGTGATTAGCTCCTTATCCAAATTCAAAAATGAAATATCAAATCTCACATACTCATAAGTTAGTCATACCATATTAGAGGCAGGCACCTACAGGAAACCTGTCAACATTTTTCAAAATTAATAGCCATATATTAGTCTGCAGCATTCAACAAATAGTTACAGAGTATCCACATGTGCTGGACACTCAAGCCTCTATAATGAGGAAGAAAGACACAGTCCTTAACATATTATGGCATGGTTAGGTAAGTCTTATTGAACAAATTGCACACATGTAATAGTTTAGCAACCATTTAGTAAATGTTTTGAGGGAGAAGAAAAGGAAGCATAAAACTTCGAGTGGATGGAAATCAGATCTGTAAGGATTCTACATTTGCCCCTTTTTCTCTAGATGTAGCTTTGAAGCGCTAAACAACCTTTCTCTCACCTATTAGGTTGCTCATCCACTTTCTCCTGGACTTATTAAAATAACATTCACTTCCTTGGAGTAACATACTAGGCCATTTATGATCAGAAACAAGTTTACCTTTCTAGCTTCAGCTTCCATCAATGACCCAGGATCCCTTACAACTCCCTTGTGAGGGAACAGCTTTGAATTTCCCTGTTTATACTTAGTCTTTCTATACCCAGCTCAAATGACATTTCCCCCACCACCCCCAGCTTTCACTGACCCTGATCCACTGCCTCCTGCTGAGTAAGAGTGAGTGATTCCTTAGTCCCAACCCCAGGAGAATTCCCTACGGAGCAGGAAAGCATATGGACCCTAGGGTCAGAAAAACTTGTGACATGAACCTTTAATCTTACCATCTAATTATTTCAACAATTACATAAGTGTCAGAACTTTGGTTTCCTCATTTGTAAAATGAAAGGATTGTAAAGATTCACCTCAATATGTAAAATGCTAAGTACAGCTCTGGGCATCTGGCAGATGCCTGTCATCATAGATTGTAGTTACCTAGATATCTGCTTTCCGTAGTAACAACGATCACATCTCTTCTAATCTCGTCTTTAATTCTATCATGGTTTATAGTCTAAGCTTCAGAATCTTTCTTTCATCTATGTTTCCCTCCTGTAAGAAGCCGAGTTGTCTTGTTTTTGGTATCACGCACACAAAAAAATGGAAACTCCACTATTTATATGTATTGAATCAAAAGCAAAGCCAAAATGAAAACCCCCTTAAATAACAAAGCTGTTATTAGAATTGTTCCATTTATACTGTGTATAGTTCCATATTAATGTTCAACTTGCTTATAATTTTGTTAGTATCACCTAAAAGAATAAAAATATGATAACCAAGAATTGATACTAGCTTACTATGCCTAACGGTGTCTAATGAAGTAAAAATTAAAGCTTCAGCTATATAAAATATGCTTCATAAATCTCTTGATGTCTAAAATTTGAAAAAATTCTAGGTTTCTGACCTCTCCAGTATAGTTGTCTGTCAAAATGCCCTGAAGGAAAAAAGCCTGATTGGGGGAAGAGGAAAGCAACTCACCTATTTTAGTTGCACTATAAATATTTTCTATTGGAAATACAATTCCTAATCCATACAATAGGACTTTGGCCAATGCCGGGATGAGCTGAGTAGTTGTAACTAAAATATTCACACAGTTCGTCCTACAACAACAAAAAACAAAAATTAAAAAGACTTTTAAAAATCTTTAAAATGAACAAACATGAGCTGGAGCCATATTGTAGCAAAATCCCCATGGGGAGTCTCACCGGGAGTGAATGAGCGACAGGGCTTTAAGGGCTAGTGTCAACCAGGAGTCCGTCAGGGCTTCAATCTCAGCCCTCAGCTGCAACCAAGCTTCCCTCTTAGCTGGACCAAGTAGACCTGTGGGTATCAAAGCACACAGTGAACTCCTTCTTTACCCACCTTTAAATAATAAATACCTAAAAGTACTCCCAAATCCTACCTCAAGGTTTCAATACATAAGATGCTATGTTGATATTATATAATGAAAGATAATATTGCACATATGATCATTCAGTTGATAAGTATTTAGTGTTTTTAAAGGGAACATCTGATTTTGCATTTGAAACATCCCTTCTTCCAGTTGTGGAAGTCACCTCTCTGTGGGTGACTTTCCTCCATTCTTGTCACCCCATGTTATGAACACCCCATGAACTGATCCCCCTTCCTGGCATCCCGGGTGGGTGCATGTTGTTAGCTTGATTGGCGTAAGCAAGCCTTAGAGCTTTTGCCTTACCTACTCAGGAAGACATTTCTCTCACTCATTAAGCATGTGCTAAATCAAAAAAAAAAAAAAACTCCTGCGTTTACTGGTAGTCGTTATGCCACCTCTCCGCAGGGCTTGTCCCAGAATGACCCCATCCAAAAGGATAGAACAAGTTTTTCTGATGGCATCATTTGAATATCAGGATACAGCCATGCTGGAAACAGATATCACCCCTATATTTTTATAATTATGTCAAGATAGTTCCTTTTAGCACAAAGTCATTGGGACAATTCCAAGCCACAATGCAAATCACAGTATCTGCTCATTGAAAATCTTTAACAACCCATTTTGTGATGACCAAGGGTTGCCAATGCTATCCCATCTGGTCAACTGTAAGAAGTCAAGAAACTTGGTTTAGGTCATCCACTAAGTAATGGAGCCAGACTAATGATATTTCAGTCACTAAATCACAGCAGAAAAACTGTGAGATGTAACTGCCCTCGGATACCTATTATATCCCAAACAATGTGATTCAAAAGTGTGGGTCCTTCCAGAATTCTATCTAGACTGTCTCGATTAACCCATAAAGACACCTGGATTGGTCACTTGCCTCCCACATTGTTTTTGTAGGTGTTGTAGATCTCTTTCACTCGTCTGTAGCGGAAGGCCAGCTTTCTCATCCAGTCCACACCACCCCGGACACCAGTTGCCAAGCATAAATTAGCACTGGTGGCTGCAGCAGGAAAACCATCTGTTCCAAAGTTATATGTGCTATTTAGATGCAAGAAAAGCCCAAAGTTAACCGAACAGCAAATTCATCTTAATTAGCCAAGCAAGTAAACTACAAAGGGGGAGGGGATCACTTCCTGTGTCATTCTGCTAACCTTAGGTCTTGTCCATTGTCATCTGAGGAAACATCGTCTATATGAACTTGGTCACATTCCTGAAATGCAATTAAAAAATGATACATGTCAACTTTTAAAAAGAACTGGAGTATTTTTCAACTGTGTTAATCAGTAGGTGGCAGTCTTGTTAAGTTGACTTTTAGAGTTCCACTACAAGAAACAAGCAACGTCATTAATGGCTACTGTATTCTGCTTCAGAAGACACATTTCTATGTTTAAAAAGGAAAGTGATTGAAAACAATTAGTGTGTGTGTTCCAAAACCTTAGGTACCTTAAGGATCATGCCGCTTGGAGCCGATTCAGTCAGTGCCTGTGCGTAACTGGAACCAGACATTTTGGTAAATGTAACATGCTAGAAAAATTAAACCTGATGCTAACTGCCAATGAAATTATGACCTCTGATTGCTATTGAGCCACACACCAACACAGCCTGAGGCCAGTGTGCGGAGCAGCCCAGACAAAAAATCTGTTCCTGGTTTGCCATTTATGTGAGAGATGTGCATTGATTCTTTGTGTGTATCTATGTGCATAGGATTTTTAAAAAAAGAAGAAAGAAAGAATCAGGACACTTCAAAACACCTAAATAAAAATAATCAAACCATGCAGCGTATTTTACTGTTTTACATATTCATTAAAATGGTAATTTATGAGCTTATTTTACAAAATATTTTAAACACACCTGACCTTTTTAAACTCAAGTAATGTGTAAATGGTTTAGAATAGGAGACTTAAGCTGTGAGTCGAATGCATGTATGCGCACCTGTCTGCTCAGGAGTGCTCCTATGTATCTTACCACTGAATCCCCAGCCCCTGGCATAGCAGTGAAGAGTAGGCACTGAGTAAGCATTTGTGGAATGAATGAAGGCATACTAACTCAGAGACAGACAAGGTCACCCGACCAGAAACAAGCAATACCCCTCCTCAGCCTGCTTGCTCTCAGATTTCAGTCATATTCTCTTTGCAGTTGGACTCCAGCTACCCCAGAGGCTGTTTGTAGATTTATTTCCATCAAAGTCTTCACTTAAAAAATTTCCAGACGCATATCCTGTAGCTTAAAAAGTCACTTCTGCCTCAACCTCCAGTCATATATCAGATATGGTTAATTTTATAAAATCTCATCTTTGTAACACCTAACATTCAATTTTGTAACAAAGATAACATAGGTAAAATACTACAATGATTGAAGGTGTATTTTTATGTTGCCAGTTCCTTCTGAACAAATTCATCTCTCTCTCCCTCTCTCTGGATTTGGGAGGAAAGGAGGAGATAGAAGTGGAAAGAAACTCAAACCAGCTGTTCCTTAACAGAATTAAAATCGTGACCCCCCAACCTCTTCTTTAAAGCATCTCGTTTCCAGGCAGCTCTCTCCCAGCAAGCAGCAAGTTCCAAGGAGGAAAAGACTTTGACCTTGTAACCCTCCCCTGCTCTCCTGAGGTCTATAACCTCTGATAAGAATAAAGGAAAAGCAAGTCTAGGAGCCCTCACATGCTGACTGTGAATTTAACATTTCAAAAATAGGTCATTTTTGGAAAACACTTTTGGGGACTCTCAGAGTGATTAAGTTAATCCTATTTTAGAGGACAAATGATAGTTGTTTGTGTTTTCAATAACTTACTTACTGTAGGTTTAAAATGTCACTACAGCATGAGCTGAAATTTCTATTTATCCAGAAATGCAAGTCTCTCTCATTCCCTTGGTAATCTTTCTTAGATCTCTCCCGCACCACCACCAAAAAAAAAAAAAAAATCCAAAAAAACCAGTCAACATACCATGATAGAGAAATTTTCTCTCTTGTGAGAACAAAGAGGAGGAAGTTGAGAAAGCAGAGAGGGAAAGATGCTAAGAATTTAATTCAAGTAATCAAAGCTGACCTAGAATTCTGTGGTTAATTTCATGGGTGGGAAGAGTTCTTTGGGAAAACAGGGTGTTAAGATGCTTAACCTAATTTAGGTGCAAATCTCCATTACTCACAGAGAAGTCAGTTATCTTCTGAAGTCTGTTAATGACTCCATTGTTGCAATTGTTCTTTCACATCCTGTATTTATTTTCTCCTGCTAGCTTTATAGAAACCCTTTTGTTCCCAGGCCAGGTCCTTATTTGAAGTACTGGGGTCAACACTGTGATTAGCTCTAATTAAGTGTCAATAGCTCTAAGCTTTTACCTGGAGATAGGCAACTCTAAGCCTTTACCTGCAGATGGGAAATTCACTTCACAGTGACTTGATTAAAGCAAAGTTCTGTGTGATGGCAACAAGAAAGTTCCCATTCTTTACCTGGACAGTTTCTGTGGAATGATTTTAATGAAAGGAGACTTCAAAATGAAAAGTGGTTTTTAAAGGACCCAATTAGCACCTTTGGGAACAACAACAACAAATCATTGAAATGTCCATGTTAAATGCATCCTGTGGAACTGACCCTTACTTCACAGTGCACAATGGAAACATAATTCAGAATTCCTTTCAAGTTTTGTATGAGCTTACAAATGCCTTGGGAAATGTGCTTTTACAAAAAAAAAAAAAATACCTGTTCATGAGAAACTACAATAAAACTCTTGATGTTGACCTATTGTAACAACTTGGATTCCTACAAGAAGAGAGGACATTAAATTCTGCAATATTGTGCTGCAGAACTGTGGAACTAGCTAATTTTCTCAAGTGGGTTTGCTCCCTATTGAGAACTTAGTCTCTTTTTGGAGGGCAAACTTACTTTCTTCCATCTTTTAGAAGCCGTGTAAATTTTGGTTTTGTCTTCTGGACTTGGTAGGTATTTAAGTTTCCTAATTTGCTTTTACATCTAGAAAACCAGAGGAGCAAAGTGTGATTTAAAAACTCCACGGCTTTAAGCAGAGGTGGCTCTGGCCACAGCAGTAGTGAGATGTTGGAAGATTCATGCTATAGACATGGAAGTCCACAACAGGAGCCTGATATATTTCTAGGTGTCAAAACATGAGAAGGGTTTCAAAAACAAAACAAACAGAAAATGTTTTAAGGAAAAACTATGCACTAGTATCAATTTTTTTCAGGCCAAAATAAATGTACCTTTTCATTCCACTTTTGTACTGACTTTTTATAGTAGAATCTCCCAAAACTCTAATGTGGTTCAAATTATGCAGAAAGCAGGACATGGACAATTCCATGGCAAAGGAAGTCTTTGATTTCAAAAAGAGACCATACTTGCTGAAAAGGTTCTTTGAAAATGAACTTTCAAGGAGGATTTAAGAAGGTAAAATCTGTATTGCAGCCTTGTAAAACATTCACATTTCTAGGAATCAGAGGTAATGAGTCCACAGTGGTGGGGCAGGGTTGCCAGAGGGATCCCAACTGCATTCGGATACCTGGCCTTGGACCTCACTGGGGACAGAGGTAAATGATTCCAAAGATGCCAGATAGATGCTGCCCTCGCGTTAATCTGAGCTAGCTAATGGGTGCCTTGATCAGGAAGGTGGCCATTCAGCCATGTAATGGGGTTACTTATTAAGAGACTACTATCTCCTAGGTATTGTTCCAGATGATAAAGCTATAGTATTTACCAAAACAGATTAAAAAAAGATCATTGCCCCCTGGGAACTAAGGTTCTAGAGGAGGAGGCACAAACAAGAAAACATGCTAATTAAACAAAAATCCTGAGGTGTCCTAAAACTAATGACAAAGCACGGAGGGTGGAGGTGGTAGGATAAGAGATGTTAATCAGTCAACAGCCGTAGGGCAAAAGCAAGGCAAGGCTATTTAACCTTGGGTTAAATCCCATCACAGCCATCTTCTAGGGCCAGCATACCTTGTTTATAAATAAACCTTCTTGATCTGTTTGTCCCAACCAATCTAGAAGCCACAAACACTTCTTATGAATGCCCTTCCCAGTTACCTTCTTTCAGTTTAGCTAATGTAGGATCATTGCAAGCAACATATGTCACTCTTCTGCAAGTTTTCTAGAAACAGTCTTAGTTCTATATCTGGTGGTCATCTTCCCAACGGCCATCTCACCTTGTCCCTGGTAGTTTTTGGAAACTTGGCTTGTGACCTGGTTTTTAATTTTGGCTGCCATCTGTAGCAATTCCAAGAATCCTTTTATTTCAGAGATTCAAGAGGCTGAACAATGTAAAATGTACAGTATGTTGCACAGTGGTAAGTGATAAGGAGGGAAAATACAGCAGGCAGGGGCCCAAATTGGTGCCTGGGGGAAAAGTCTTCCTGGCAAAGGAAACGGAAAGAGAATGTTTAAAGGGCCTGGGGCAGGATGTCTGGTGTGGTGAGGTAGGAAGAGCAAGGGGGAGAGAGGTTTGCAGCTCAGAGCAAAGAGCTGCTTTGCCAGGGAAGCAGTGGCCAGGTCATCACTCCCTGCCCTCAAGGCACTCTCAGGTTAGCAGACAAGAGAGAAGTTCATTAACTACACCTGTGATAGATTAATCATAATTATGGTAATTGCTGTAGGCCCCCTCCCTCCTCTCTGGGATGAGGGTTCTGCCACTCCATGGCTGATATAGAGTTCTCAAACTATGTTTTGCTAGGAGAGGAGGGCACATCAGAGCACTTATGTGCTTGTAGCAAGCTCACGAACTGAGGAACAGTGGCCAGCTAGGAATGACTCACAGGTGATGAGCTGCGGTGACAAAAATAAGGCAGCTTCCTGGGATCAGATTTGTCCATGCTAGATCTCTAGCTTCAAGCAACTGTGAAGAAGAGGTAGTGACATTTCCATAGAAAACTCTCATTCCCTCTGGGAACTAATCCAACTTAGAGATGCCATGGGGCTCTGTGGACTTAGCTGGTTCCTGAAAGGTAAGACAAAGACTCTTGAAGACTACATTTCTCTTATTGTCAAATCACAGATGTGAGAATTGGTTTGAAAGTCGGATAAGGGATCTGGGGAAAGAGGAGATTTTTTTTTTTTTTTTTTTTGAGAAGCAGAAAGACATAGTGTTCCATCAGGTTGTTCATTCTCCAAATGTCTGCCTACTTAGTCAGGACTGGGCCTGGGCAGAAGCCAGGCACTTAAGCCAGGTCTCCCACAAGGGTGGCAGCACCGAGTCACAGAGGCCTTCA